CAACAGTACAATAAGCTTTAGTTTTGCCCAGCTAATACTGTGAAATAGTCATTGTTAACATTCAGACATTGTAAAGGTGGTTTTAAACATGCGATTTTTATGGGAGCCATATTGTTTCATCACAATCCTTACTATTAAGTACTATCGTACTTAATGATAATTTTGTCTCAGAAATTATTTTTTAAAATTATAATATGCAATTTAGAGTTACGAAATTTTGCCATGCATATAAAATAGTGTTGCGTCAGCGAGGTCACGTGATTAGTATCACGCCACGTCCTTCTCGAACCTTCGTGAATTGTCTGAAGATTACTAGATATAGTGCATTCTTGTATATATAAGACTGGCCACGAAGCGACGCGGAGGTAATGAGTAATTGAATGTATGCGGACAAAATATTGTTGGCCACGTGAGATGTGAGTTATAGCGTTTGATTATAGAGCGACTGTTGAAATTAAATGTATCGTAAAGTTGTATTCGGAAAGAATAAACCAGTTTATTTAAGAAAGGACTTGTGTCGCTAAAGTTTCGTTGGAAATTAATTAACGAACGAACGGAGACGTAACAATAGAATGCCCTAAAACTATTGTCATTTATTTGGCTATCTAACTAAGCCAGAAATTGCTTAAATAATTCCAACAGGTAGCCAAGCAGATCGTTGCAAGGACTTTAGACTTTATAGCTGTCAGTAAATTGAAATCGTTGCTTTAAGTTGGTTACAAATAATACAACTGCAAATGTCAAAGAGAATTTATAACAATTTTTGAAAGTGAGATGTTCTATGGGAGGCTTGTGTCTCCATAAAGCAAAAAGCTTTGTCCCTACAAGTTGACCGTTTAGCTCGAGGATATGCATAGTATCTGTGTGAAATTTAGGAAATTCATAGAAAGTTAAGAAGTCATAAAGGAGAAGAAGTAAAAAAAAAGTAATTGAGAGCAAAGACGTATTATTGATACACAGAAATGAAGAATGAGAATTTATTTAAACATTTCCTTTTGAAACTAAGAAAATAAAACATACTGTATTGGCCCAAATTTAAGATGAGGTTTTTAAAAAGTAAGATTTGAAAAATACATGTCGCCTTATCATTGCAGACTACACTTCGAGTCAAGTTAACATGCTCAGTCAATTTCTTATGAGTGCATCATGGTATAAATCATGTAAAATGTTTTGTGTACTGTTTTTTAGTATTGTCTTATTAATGCTTAAGGCTATTGTATATATTTGTATACATAAAAAAATAAGTTCTTGTATTTGAAAAGTAAGGTCAAGATAGTATTATAAAAATTCAATTATAAACTATGTTATGATGTCAAGTCTATTGACATACATTGATAGTCATTTATATAATTAAATTCTAAATGAACATGACCCTACCCTATTTTGGAGGGTTAATGGAATATTTATCAAATTATTGTAGCATTTCTTGTGTATGACAGCCTTTCCTTGCAAGAAATCTCGCGTGTATTGACAATTGCATATCTTAGTCACCCCCACAAATTCTTTTGATACCAGTGGCGTCAATTACCTCCATTTTACCTACCATGATAATTAACCATTCCAGAAGGAAGCTGTGGCTGGATAGCCAACTGTTCATAATTATAGAACAATACCAGGACTTATTTGCTTGTTTGACAAATTATTGTCCGAACAAATGCTTTTTGGAAAGGAAACAGTGCATTTCATGCATTGGCTTTAGAACCATGTTACACAGCACCAATGCAATAGACCTCGTCCATAGTAAACTATGAAACAGAACTTCTGTACATAAAGGTACTATAACTCCCCCTGTAACACACACTCCTGTAGCTCACTTTTTGCACAGGCCAAACTGATGGATAATTTCTACAATGTCAATGTCAGATTGGAGATAACGACCTTTCTTTTGTGGTTGATTGTAACTAGATATAGCCAAAGCCTTGCTTCCACAGTCACGTCTAGCATATCATTATTTGTCAGAACAAAGTCAGTGTAAATTGGTTGAAATGGTGGCTTCACTTGGGGTACAAATATGTGGCAAAATCGACCATAGCCTTACATCTCCTGTATCAGCTAGGAACTTCATCTCTTACCCCCATGATTTCAGAAACATATACCATTCAGAACTCATAATTTGCCTCCTGCACTCCCTCACATTTGTGGGAAGTTCCAACTCGGGCTCTGTTAATTATATGGAATGGAAGTAGCAGCAGTTACAGCTCTTTACTGACTGCCTTGCATCTGCTGTGCAAATGGTTGATACTGGCATTTTCAGCTGTTTTGCTACTCAGCAAAGTATGGACAGTTCACTCTAAAGTGACCCTGCTGCTCACACTTAAAGTGGGTGGTTTGATTTTTCCTTCTAGAGTGATGCCGATTTAGAGGCATGATTGGCGTCAGCTGTGGTAAAAATTATGGGTGGACTAGGGAATCCCTGCCCATTTGCCAGTTGGGTTGTGTCATGGTGCTAGCATGTGATGACTGCTGGTTTGCTCTTGGCTTAGCTTGAACTCAGCATGAAGCACCAACTTCAGTTGGGTGATTTTATTATGGACTTTCTACTCTCTTTTGACCTATTCTATGTCAGGACTTCAAACCTTGCTGTTTTATTAGGGTAAGAAGATCTCTCACACCCAAGTGATACCTTATTGTCTCACTGGGGAACCCTCTGTAGACTTATTGATCAGCATATCCTCATGATCTGTTAATCCCATTGCAGTATGTGCTTTCCATACAACCAATTCACATCATCCACATGAAAATAAAAGTTCTCTGAGGGAGCATTCTTTTGAGTCTTGAACTTGGCCTGATGGACTGATTAGTACTCCAATGGATCAAAACATTACAATAACTTGGCTACACTGTATTCAAGTCCTGCTTCACTCAAGTGCCAATAACATTGAGGGCTGCACTCCCCAAATTTAGGGTCAGGCATTGCATTACTTAATCTTGAGTCCAGCCAATTCAGGAAAGGACCTACCTGAAATGTTTCAGGAAATGATCCAGGTCTTCTTTAGTTGCACCCTTAAACAACTAGAATGTTATTTATTTAGCCTCTATCACAGCTACCTGTGGTTTGGGCATAAACCTACAGGGTCTTGGTTCACAACAGGCTGTGACATTCTAAACATTGGTGAGTGTAGTGGAGTGGGATTTTACAGGGACCCACACAAATAGATGAGGGTTAGATTCCTGCATTTGGGTCACAGAATGAAGGTAATTTGTCATTTGGGATCTACACAACCTCAGGCTTCATTGTAATGAGAAGGAAAAGGTTATCATTATTCCTGGACTAATTCCTGTAAAAACAAGTAAGAAGAAGGTAAAGAGAAACTAAAGCTTTAACTGTTTCTGGATCCAATATTATAAATACAAGTAATAAGAAAACAAGAATCTAAAGGTTAGCATTTTTCTGGACTTACACCTATGGATAACCATCCAATACCCATCCCTATCTTTCAAGTCATCATGACAACCAATGATAAAGTAGAAAAGATGTTGGGGATACTGAATGTTAGTTCAGCATCTGGATCTCTTGCTGGCTCTCAACCAATTGCACATGTGGTGAAAACACCACCTCCATTTGTCTTCCAATAATCCAGATGTCTCTTCTTCCAGAACGAACTAAGGAAATCTGCAAATGCAGGAGCTAGCCAACAGCAGTTATAGAAGCAAAAGAGGACTACCATGAATTATGTCAAGCAGGAGATAGCCAGCAGCAGTTAATGAAGCAAAAGAGGACTACCATGAATTATGCCAAGCAGGAGCTAGCCAGCAGCAGTTATAGAAGCAAAAGAAGACTACCATGAATTTATGCCAATTCTAATACAAAATCTGAGCCCAACTTTGT